ATGAGAAAGATCTCTCTCCATATGATTTGTATGATTTTACAGGTGTCACAAGTAGGGTGTTATCGTTCGATGATCTTAGGTTTCTCCCTACTTCATTTTCATTTGATCTCCATGGTTTCAACTGCCAGTTGAAGAAAACAAACAATTTAATATGTTTTAGACTACCGGTACCAATGGGGGAAAATGGGCCACCTTCGGCCTAGTTCTCCACACGTGTGGTCCAGTCCTCTCAACTTGTTGGCACACTTCTCCCCAGTTAAGTTTTATGGAAAAATAATCTTCAACATATTTCCATGCCAGTTTGGTAGCATTACCTATTAAATCCTGATTAAAAGTAGATCTAGGTCTAAATTTTGTACCTAGAATATAATAAGATAAAAATAGAGGTTTGGATATTTAGAGAGACATTTTAAAAATAAACCTTGGGGCAGTACTGTTGTGTAGTCTACCACTCCGGAGTCTTTTTTTAAATTCCTCATTGGTGCTCTAGTGTGACACTGTGTACCCGCTTCTTTCTAGATCTAGTCTTTTGGCATTTGTGAGGCTACCGGTATCCTTTTTTTCGGTTCAATCTCCAGGGACAATGCTACCTATACTTTTGTAAAAATATATCAAAAGAAGACCGGCATAGGTAGGCCTACAGCCTTACCTGATACAGAGAAAGATGCAGTGGCAGCTGTTAGTGTGTTAGAAATTGAGCGGCTTTACTTCGAGAGAAGTCGCATGCTTTCCCGGCATTGCTCGCACTACCCTTGGAAGAAATGGAAAGTTCTTCAACGTAATGTTGAATTGTGTCCACACTATCGTCACAGTCCAGTATTCACAGTTGAATAGGAGGCTGAATTAGCGAAGTACTGTATGTTGAAATGTGCCAAAATATAATATGAAGTCGCTATTTCAAATCACCTCAAACCATTCCTAGCCGTCTTCGTGGGATGATGCAAAATGTGCTGGAAAGGAGTGGCAGATGAGCTTTCTTTGGAGACATCCGCAATACAGTTTGCAAGTTCAACCAGAGGCTACCTCATTGGCAAGAGCAACAGCTTTCAACAGACATTCTGTGGGAACATTTTTAAACATGCTACAGATTTTTTCTAGTGACCTAGGTGTGTCGGGAGCTCAGATACTCAATCTAGACCAAAGAGGAATCACAACAGTTCACCAAGTCCCAAAAGTCATTCGACCTAATCGTGATACTGAGCAGTTGAGCCATACAAATATATATATAGTATAT